CCTACCCATAACCAGAACCTTCAAGAGATGCAAGTTGGTATGTGAATTCATATTGCAGGCATACGCTGCACTATCATTTCACATTGAAGAAATTCTTTTCCTTTGCAGCAACCTCCATTGGGCAAGCAGACAAGGAACAAGAAAATATGAAGATTTATGTAACCAAGAGGAGTCAACTTGTAACCTAGCCACTAACCTCCTTTCCTTCCCATTCTCCATTTACATCTAAAACCACATTATGGGTGAATTCAAGGAGTTATTTCTCCCACTCCCAAATTACAAGGCAGAAGGTCTCAAAGCCTTTCATGCAAACTGACGCTTAAACTGCTCTACCAAATGCTACGCCAACTGCTAAGGCCTCAAATATTGCACATCGCCTGCGACAGTATGGACAGAGCTCCAAGAGGCAACACCGTGGTTATCAGAACAGAGCTGTTTTCCCAACAGTGACAGCACAAGTGCTTAAGTTCTCAGAATGTAACCTAATCAGTTCAGGAAAATTGGAACTGATTAACTGAAAGCTGTGAGAGTATCTTTAAAGAGGTCAGAGCTCCCGTAACAGGATGACCTTCTTAGCTGATGCTATGATGTTGGACACATTATGGATCCATTAAAAAAAAAAAAAAAAAAATCTGAAAGGTTATTCTGAAGACTAGTGTCTCAGAAAAAGAAGAAAGTTTCGGCAGGAAATCTAAAAGAGCTAACTGTTTATCAAAGATCTTGAATTCATATCAACTAATTCATAAATTAACATCACAATAACAAAAAAGAAGAACTGTACCTCCTCAGTTCATGAAGATATTTAATCTCCCAGTCCTTCAATGTAGAAGTCTTAGCCTTTGTTGACGCAGCAGTTACTGCTACAAAAGGAGCTGGGTAAGAGCAGAGGAAGACCACAGACCAATATTTTCTATCTATTCTCATGGCTGCAGCCAGAAACTTCTACAGCAGCCAAGAATATTCTAACAGCCTCACTAACTGCTAGAAATAGTTGTGTCAGCTTATGTGACAATTCTACCATCATATACATAGCAATGCAGGAACTTGCTTCAGGAGATCTCGGGAAGTCCATCACAACCTTCCCAAAGAACTTGCCTAAAGTTGTAACAATGCATCATGGTATCGCTTCAGGAAGGAAGTCTGGGATGGTCAACTTCTCAACCAGAACACATCTGTCCCTTAAGCTCATCATAGCTGAGGCTCCCAGGTACCAGCCTCGGATAAGCTGTAGCTATAGGTGGTATAGGTTAGTTCCAAGAAATATATAAAAGAGTCACAGCTGTTCAGATGAAAAAGTTAGTTTCCTTCCACATCCAATATGTGACAAATACTGGCACCGAATGATTATGCAGCTGCTTGTGTCAGGAGGGATGACAACAAACAAAGAAGAGTACAGTTGAAACACCACGGATATGCTTTGATCAGCTGCTTGTGGCAGTGATGTAAGGGTTCATAGGCATAAGAATCAGAGGGAAGTCAATGAGATATCCCTTATGCCAGTAATGAAGATGAGTTTGCCAGTGCTATCAGTGGCGGAGGAGCTGAAATACTTTCAGTGTTGAGAACGAGCTAAAGGCAAGTAATAAGACACACAACCAGAGATGACTGTATACGCAATGAGGTGTGAACTTGGCTCGTCTGGTAAGCCTCCATAGTATTTTTAAAGTAATGCTCAACCAAACATTTCAAACCAATGTTCAACAGTGACTTTTCCAGGTGACTGGTTTTCTAAAAAAAGACTGGTCACCTTTCCAGAAAGTAAGCTTTAAATGAAACAGTTATTAGTCACAGCACAACACCATTCCACAGGCCTTGCAGGCTCAGCCATTTTATACAATTAGGCTGGCAAGTTAGCATTCAGGCAGTCTAGTTTGGAGGTGAGTGGCCGGCTGCAGAACCCAGCCTTTTCTACAGCGGGAGGAAATAAACCCCCATTGCAAGGATCCTTCCACATCAGTACTTGGAGAGCTCACAGTGCTAACAGCCAGAAGCACCGGCAGGTCAGGACGTTACAAACCACTTCAAGTCTCTCATCCCACTTTCCTGTCCCACTGTTCTTTTGAAAGGAGTTGTGACAGTAGTTTGGTTGAGTAGATTTCCACCTCTTGCGTGTACCGGTGTCTGCAGGTGAGCTGATATCTAGCTTGCAAGTGTCTAAGTGTTTGCCCTGTAAGAAAGGTCTCCTATACCTCCACAATCTTTGTCTGGGGTTCAGAACCACCATTTGCTGGGTCCTATTATGAAATGCATTAACCTCCAATGCACAGAGAATCACACTAAGATTATAAAGCAGGATCCCTTTTTTCCTGAGTATATAATTTTCCTTTTATATAATTATGATTCTAATATCAGTCTAATTCATAACAGTAGACACTTAAAAACCTTCTCACTTTCTAAAAGTCTCATTATAAAAGTCTGTTTTCATGTTCGTTAAATTGAACCAGCACAAAATCAGTCACTGTGACAACCCCTTGGTTTAAGAATAAAACTTGAGTCCTAGACTGATGAAAGAAATAAAAACCGAAGCTCTTTATCACCCCAGAAAA